GAAATTTATAATTATGAAATGTATACAGGGTGAGTCTTTCCATATCCGACAAAATTTTTGCAACAGTCAGAAATTTTCTGAGCTAAGATTGGATTAGAGGAATAATTCAATTTCAGCACTTCCAACAGTTGTAAAAAATATTCTGCTAAACGCGACCAATGTTAACTTAATATAATTTAACAATGTTTTCTGAATGTTGAACTGTAACGTTTACAAGACATTACAATTCAGCGGCCATTAGACGTTTTTGCAATATCTTTTCAACGTTGAATTTACATTTCGTAACATCGATGTAATATTGCAATGTTGTAATGGAACATTTCTGAGACGTTGATTCAACATTTGTGTGCTGTATGGGTAACGTTCTTTACTCAATGTCCATAGGTAACATATGGGGACAGTCTTGGATCAATCTGTTGGATGTTACCTTGCCGTATCCTGGAAAAATATACCCCGACGTCACGCAGGAAATGCGGGCTCAAGTAAGATCCTACCTTTTTCATTTTATAATCAACATTCTACATCACGTTATATCCTTGCATAAAAATATACTGATAATTAATTTAATTGACAATGAACTATATTGTAACTAGATTGTCAATATTGATAGCTGTGTATTATAATTAGGGCTACACACCCATTGACATGGTTCGAGTGGCCGAGGAATTCTACCTGTCCTTGAACTTGAGCGCACTGCCGCCGGAATTTTGGGCCGGAAGCGTAATCGCCGATCCCGGCGACCGCCCATTAATCTGCCAGGCGTCCGCGTGGGACTTTTGCAATCGCATAGATTACAGGTTAGTACGTTTATCAACAACCGTCTATAATGTGTATAGTAATCAATTAACACGCTATGTTACAATGAAATGAGCAATAACATGTTTTTTTTTCCAAAAGCATCTAAACTTTCATCATGCGTTAAACTCATATTTTGAAGATTACAAAATAAAAAAATAACTTTCAACGTGCTATTACTTTTATGTTTAGACTCAAAATGTGTACGAAGGTGACGATGAAGGATTTGATAACTTTGCATCACGAGATGGCACACATTCAGTATTTCTTACGATACAGCGGTCTACCTCGCGAATTTCGTGACGGCGCTAATCCAGGTATAAAAATACATCTAACATCTTCAATCCATCGTATATTTTGTAAGGTGCGCATTAAATAAACACAAATCTAACAAAATCATAACGCGAAATCGCACTACGCGCGATTATTGTCTAAATTAAAGCTCAAGTTTGCCAAATAAATTTTAGATTAATTCACAAACTTGAAAAATCCTATATAATTGTTATTATCAAATTTACGAAACTCAAAAGATCAAGTCCAACAATCAGAATTAAGAATAAAACAGCAAAGCGAGTCGCAAAATACAAGACAATTTTTTTCGCAGCGCGTTATTTGCTAAAATAAAATTATAAGTATTTTTCTGTGTCTCTCAGTCTTTATCTATTACAACATATATAAATGAATATAAAATAAATAAGGGATATTCATATTCCCAGAGAACATGCATGTCTAAAAGACATCTTTGAGACATGCATGTACTCTGGGTTTGTTCTGTGTTGCAAGACAAATATGTCGGCGCGCAGTTCCATTTCGAATTTAGTCACGATATGCGACTTTGGTGAAATAACGTTTGACTGTTTATTGCGATAAATATTACCACGTGCCCGGTGATCGAATTGGTGAGGCGCCTGCCTAGTGAGAGGGAGGCATCCTTTGTTACTTGGCAAAATTAATGTTATCATAAAAGAGCTAAGACAGTTTTAGACCGCCAACGTTCTCGGCGGCTGATATTCGTACGATGCGTGACCGCCGTAATGAGGAGTTGCATCACGCCGGGATGAAAAGACAGACGCGGACTAGGACAAAAGGATAGGAGACGGCCGGTTGAGGATGGCATGCGTGAGCCTGCCGGACAGACGACAACGCGTTGCGTAAGCGCGACGGGTCCGACTCCCGGCCGACTTCCGGAAGGCACAGCCGACCTGTGTGCGCCTTACGGCTAATAGCGCGAAAGCGAGAGCGAGTACGACACGCTCGAGGTGTACGCTGCGCGCTACGGTACTCGCGAATAGACGAGTGGATGTTACTCGCGTACATTGGCGTCGGGCGCGCGTTAAAATATTTTTATTACGGTATAATCGCGCTTTCACCGTAGCCGGCCGGCCGGCCGGCCGGCCCGGTCGTTCGCCTCGGCACCGGAACACGGATTGTTTCGAATCAACGTGAACGGCTTCGCAGCGGCGGCCTTGCCGATTCCGTTCGATCGGTTCCGCGGGAGATTTGCGAGCGTAAAATCTACCTTGATTCAGCCGCCGTCGCTCCCGCTTGAGATCCGCGCCGTTACATAGCAGTTTACAGTTATATTCCCGAATCGCTCGCTTCGTTTCATTTCGCTCACTTCGGCAACGAACTTCGCAAATCACTTCTATCGCGTATTTTCATCTGCATTCCGCACTTTCGTGTATCTGCGGTGTCTAATTAACGCCAATTCCGAGTTATAAAATCGCGCTACGATTAATTATGCGTGCCGGGCGTTAGGCGTGTGCGCGGTTTGCATGGGGAAACGTGGCGGGGAGGGGAAATAATCAGCGTCATCTGCCACGCACGACTAATCCGCGCTAACCGTAATTACATCCTGGTTAGCGCTAAATCGCATCAAGCGCAAAAAGTCACCGGGTTATCCGCGGCGAACCTCGGGAAACTTTGCAATAATCGCAGACGGAACTCGGCGACAAGCCATCTGTTTCATCCGACGTCGACTTTCACCGTTCGATTATCAAACAGTCAAACTCCTTCGAAACGTCCAGCGACGAAATTCGAATTGCGCCGGGGGAGTCGATTCGTTTGCGGCTTCCGAAGTAGAATAAAGGCCTCTCATTACTCGTAAAGATAACGTGTAACCGCGAAGATAATATCTAGACAACGTGAGAGAAAGGGTAACTCCATATTAACGCGCTGATAACCATTATTATGAAACGTATTACGAGCAAAACGCTGATAGTAACTGCCGTAGGAAACGCGACGGTCTTGGCAGCTCCTTACCTATTTATCACACCGTTATTACTATAATTATCAGGATTCCACGAGGCGGTCGGCGAGGCCGTCGCTTTGAGCGTCGCGACGCCGCAGCATCTGCAGACCCTGGGCCTGGCGAACAGGTACATCGACGAGCGCTCCGCGGACATCAATTACCTCTTCTCCTTGGCGATGGACAAACTGGTGCTGTTGCCCTTCAGCATCGCGATGGACAGGTGGCGGTGGGACGTCTTCCGCGGCTACGTCACTAAGGAGGAGTACAACTGCCACTGGCACAGGCTGATAGAGCAATACACGGGCACGAAGCCGCCGGTGCTGCGATCCGAGGACGACTTTGATCCAGGCGCCAAGTACCACATCCCGGCCAACATCCCCTACATACGGTGAGTGCCTACCCGTCGTACTAAAATGTCAATTCGTAACGGTCTCGCGTAGACGTAAAAATGACTGTCCGAGAGGAATCTCCAACTCCTCCGGCGATCTTGCTCTGGAGAACAATTCCGGGGCCCACAATTGCTGATCGAATTATTTGGATTGCTCGTAACTCGACTCTGGGAAAAATTTGGACCGGTTTTTCTTTTGTAGTTAAGCGACTTCGGTTAGCGCCTCTTAGGCGAAAGTCATCTCCGCGTTACTGAATATCGACAGAACTAATTGGAAGAATTGATTAGCATTACTTAAAAATCTCGGATACAGATAGAACAGCTAATTGCGATTTTTAGTTACGCGGGGCAAAATCCGTAAAAGATTAGAACAATCGAAATAATTCGATTACTAATTGCGGCCGGCAAAATGGGTTGCTGTCTTTTCTTTCCCAGAGTGGTAATCGCGACGGTGGTAATTAAACTTATAGATACGTGGGAGTGTTGCGACAACACGCAGTAATAACGGGAAAACCTTGCAATAATTATCTCTGACAATAATATTATCTGATTGATAAACTGCATAGCGCGTGCGTTCCGCAGGATACGTTATTATTTCAGCAAGTTCTGGTCTCGCTGATTTGGCAATAAGAGAACACCTGCCGCGCGTACTTTCATACGTAGTTTCCAATACGCCCGAAGCAGATAATCCCGTTGCGAACAATTCTGCGTGCGCCTCGCGCACGAGATCGGCGATTTCACTTTTGATTCTCGATCCCGTGCTCCTCCTCTTGTGATCTGCCCATTGGTAGACGAAGAGAAAGAGAGGCGCGGGAGTCCTTTCTCCGACTCTCGTTACACGCGTTGCAAACTAGTTCCGATGCGCGAAACGAGTCGGTCTAATGCCTGGGATCCGCACGGGCTGAATGATAGGTCGCGCGGCAGAGAACAGCAGAGAACGGGGCGCTGATATCATCGGAATCGGAAGTGTTACGTATGCGCTCTTTCCTTCGTTAGTCATGCCACATAAAAGAAAGTCCTATTTCCATCCACCGCGCGGGGCTTAATTACGCATAGAGGCTCTTTAGCGGCGCTAATTATCGGGCGAGTTTCCGCGTGTGTTACGGCGCGGCCGAAATGACGAAAATGCCTTTCGCCGCGGCTCTACCTTTTTCCGGCTGTTTGCCGGAACAAGAAACCGGAACAACACCCCGGTCACAATCAAACACCGCTCGCGCGGAGCGAATATCGTGTACCATCGGACGCACGCGATAAATAATTCGTCACGCTACGCCAAGTTCAAGGATATTGACGCCGGCGTCGAGAAACGCACGCGAGAAAATCTCTGTCTCGTAACTGCACAAAGCGATACTTTACCATTCAGCTGCCCGGTCTCCAATGAGCGTCCAAGAAATCTGACGTATCCAGACTGAGCTGAATATCAATTTGATACCTAATTCAATTTCGCTCGCAGGGGAAAGGAGTACAAGAGCCGCAAATTGCTTAGTATGCATGATTTATTAAAGGACACGCGTGCAAAAATAGACAGGTTTTCAGATGTCTCTTCTTAGAGAATGGCGATGGGGCTAGGATGAATTCCAAGACTGTCGGCTTGCTCTTTGGTTTTTATTAAAAAGAAGCGAAAGACATCGTACAGAGCGACGTCCGTTACATGTTCCGAACGTCGTAAGAAACACAGTACACGCGTCCTCATAGGTACTTAAGTGTCGATACTATATATCTAAGAAATCGTTAGCGCTGTCTAAGCAAACTCGGAGACCCGCAATCATCCTTCGCGGCGCAAAACGGCTGTTCTGCAAACTCATCTTCCACGTCGAATCCCGCAGCGAGAACGACGTTAAGCTAGGAAAATAAATACGTCCGCGTTTTCCTCGCGGGCTCGCGCCTCGAGCGACAAATTCGAGGCTCGGTCGCGAGTGCCGAGGAAACGCTTCGTTAACACTCCCCGTGCGAAAGATCAGCCGTTGGCCGCGTTACGAGTCACGTTGCTCTATGGTTTCCCTCCTCGACGCAATGCATTTGAAAAATGTAGAAGAAGTGTTATCGCGATATTCCGTGATGCACGCCGATGCGTCCGCTCGTACGATGCAATGGAGAATCTGCAAAAGTCCCGGGTCCCCCTCGCTCGGCTCCTCATCTGCCCACATCCCGAATTGCATTTGTACAAATTAACACGGTCGGTCTAATTCTAGGTTTCCCCCACGAGAATATGTACATTTTTACCATTTTTCTTTTTCTTATATACAACATTGTGATCGAAGCCGCGTTGAGTCGAATTAGCAAATTTCTTCTCGTCGTTTTTCCCACGAGTGTATGTACATTTTAACGATTTTTTTTTATATACAACATTGTGATCGTAGTCGCGTTGAGTCGAATTGACAAATTTCCTTTTGATTATTATTTATTTCATCTCGAGGCGTTTTCCTTGCCCTCTTGTTAATTTTGTCGCTAACCGAAGCAGAAGATCCTCCACTGCCACGCTTTTTGATATTAATATCCCGAGTGTTCTAAGTGTCCCCCGAAGCTAGATTCGTAATCACCCCCGAAGCTCCCGGAGTCGTGCTCGTGCACTGGTACCGCCACCGGCACTTTTACGGGGTACGGTACGGGCTTGGGTACATGCACAGCCACCGGCTTCGTCACGTGGACCGGCACGGGTCGTTCGACAGGCACTTTTACAGCGTAGGGCACCGGCTTTTCGACTGGCACGGGCACCGGCTTCTCCACCGGATACGGGGCCGGTACCGGTACTTTAACGTGGTAGGGCACTGGCTTCACCACAGGCACTGCTATCGGTCGCTCCACGTGAACCTTAACTGGGTAGGGTACCTTCTTCTCGACCGGATAGGGTACTGGCTTCTCAACGGGGACCGGGTACGGTTTAGCCACGTGTACAGGGTACGGTCGCTCGACGGGCACTGTCACTGGGTACGGTACCGGCTTCTCCACGGGGAAGGGTTGCGCTACGTGCACCGGCACCTTTACGGTGTACGGCACGGGCTTCTCCACTGGGAACGGCTGCGGCACCGGTACCTTGACTGGATACGGTATCTTCTTCTCGACTGGGTACGGCTGGGGGATATATACTTTGTACGGTATCGGCCTCTCTACCGGCACGTGAACCGGATAGGGCACCTTCTTCTCCACCGGATACGGCTGCGGTATGTGAACCGGCACCTTTACCAAAACCTTGACCGGCACTGGGATCTTTTTCTCGACCGGGTAGGGCTGCGGTACCGGCACTTTGACCGGATACGGTACTTCTTTCTCCACCGGGTAGTGAATCTTCTTCTCGACCGGATAAGGCACCTTCTCGGTCTTCACAATCGTGATCTGCTTGATTTTGCCACCGTCATCGCCACCGTAACCACCGCCACCGCCACCGCCACCACCACCGTAACCACCATCGTAACCGCCGCCAATGTCATGACCGCCAATATCTCCGCCGCCAATATCGTGACCAACTTCAAAGCCACCACCGTCCCCATAACCGCCGTCGTCGTGTCCTCCATAGTCCGCCTCGATGTGACTCAGTCCGCGCTTATCCTGCTTTTTCGCGCCTTTGGCATTTTCGATCTGCTTGCTCTCCTGCGTAATCTCCTTCTTCTTCTCGCACACGGCCAAGGCCAGCAGCCCCGCTAATACCGTGAGAAACTGTAATCGATAGAAACGTCACGTCGATTACATCAGTCACTTGCTCTTGCAGCATCAGTGCACTATCTCCTGAAGCATGAAAGAATGTTAGGCGTGCGGCAAATTAATGGCCTCGTCAACACAGTCGAGAATATATACAGCAAATTACATAGATATCTCATCTTTCAAAACGATCATGGCTGTTCGATTGCTTTTGTGTTACATTAATTTTTGTTGCAGTGTCGAGAAGCGATATTAATCAGTTTGAGCTTTAGAAATAATTCGATTTATAAAGCTAACACTTCTCACGATTGTTATCATATACATACTTGAAATGAGATCTCAAGCGCGAGACAAGATGATGCAGGCAAGATGGCTAAGCGAAGCTAATTTGCGAATCTAAGTGCAACTAATTTCGCCCCGACGAGAGAGCGAACTTACCAAAATTCTCATGTCTACCAAGTCTCTCACTATCTGGTCAATGTCCAGACTTTACTGAATGCTTCCCCCCAAGATGCCACAGTCTTTATAGCCCGCTTTCCCCCGGCGCGTATCGAGCGAGCCCCTCTGCACTCTCGCGGAAAAGTGAAACACACGCGTCTGGCGTTCGCCCGGCGTACACGGCGCATTATGGCATTTTTTTTTTTTTCATAAATCCTAGACACAAGCCACGGTGCTTCCATAATCGCGACCAACGGCGTAGCCGCTGCGGAAAATTACGGAACACCGGAAGTTCCTCCCAGGTTAAAAAGAATCAAAACTAGAAAGTATACGTTCGTCGGGAATGTTTTACAACTACTTCTCGAATCGAAATAAATAAACGCGTAGGAAAAGGCGTTTAAAAATAGATGGAAAATTCTACAACCGTCACGTAATATTCCAGAAATGCTACGCTGGTATATAAGTGAGGGAACGTTTTGCCGCAAAAAAAAATTAATATATCTACAAAGAGGAGGACATTGTCTTTAGACTCTCCGAAGAATGCGGCGTTACGCGGAATAGCGTAACGCAACACTCTTCTCGAAATAACGACGCACGATCTCTCCAGGTAGGCAATTTTCCTACCCCGAGCTGAAGGATCTCCTGTCCTTTCGATCCTATCCATCTACGCCACTGGACCCGTAGATAGGTTCCCATTCCTCTTTTACCATCATTGCCCGCCTCCTTCGAACCGGCCAATCTCTCTCCGCTGTTTTCCATCTCGCGGAGGTCTCTCGCTCGTGCGTACCGTCCGGCAGGACTCCGTAGTGACCCCCTCCGCATCCGGTCCCCACGGAAGGACGCGGTAGGCTGCATGTACGAGTTCTCTCGGCCGAGACGAGAAACATGACGACAGAGGCTTAACGGTCTCCCCTGCGGTCCGAGGGAGAGCGCGAGAGGAAGAATCGGGAACGGTAGGAGGAGAGAAAAAGTGAAAAGTGTCCGGTGAGAGGACGGAGGGACGGGGGGCAAGGAGAAGATACAGATCCTAGAACGTTTGCGCGCCGATGTGAGATTGACCGCGTTTAATACGCTGCTTCCTAGGAACGCCGCACGGCGAATCGTCTCGCGGCTTGCTCCAATTTGGAGATTCCACTTCTAGAGTATACTTGACATTAATACAAGCGAGATAACGTTTGAAAGCGTACGGCGATAATGAACGTAATTGAGATTGGATTCGAGTAAGTCTCTGACGCGAAATGATATCGAACGTTTCGTACTTTGCTAGTTATCGCGTCCGCGTGTGTATAGCGAATGTAATTACTCCATTGCAATTAGAAAATATACTAAAAAGATTACAGATAACAGATATACATCACTAATTAAAGATAATGACAAAGAAAAAGGAAAATTAAATGAGGGACTTGAACAAAGATGACATAATGTGATTTAAAATATTCTGCGAAAAAGTGGAAAAGACAAAAATTAATAAACTTAGCTAAAATATATAATAATTATTTTGTGAAGAAGAAAACGTGAAAGGAAAAAAGTGTGGCGAATTAATCACATTAGAGAGTTATTTTATCCGATCAAAGACTCGAAGTATATTTATTTAAAACGCAGTTGTGTTCGAAATTTTTATTCTTAATTTGACATTCCAAGATAGATGGGTATCTGTAGCGATAGTTATATAGCGAAAAAAAAAATGAAAAGAAGTAAGCGAGACTAATTACTGCAGAAGAAAAAAGTGAATGTGCTCGGACATTACGTCGGTTAAAATTAGAGCAGATTAAACAACTAAGATTCTTCATGATACCAACAGAAATTGCATTTCACTTAATGCATTTATAGAGGATATTTTTATTAAGTTTCAGCAAAACAAAATATACAAATTATGTACGAGACATATACAAATATTTCGAAATATAAAAATCTGCTATTAAGATCAATCAGTCACCAGACAACTTTTTTGCCATTAAATGTATAAGTTAAGTAATATTTTATTAATATATAAAAATAAAAACCTGAAAGGTTATTATGTCACACGATTTCGTTGTTCTGATCGAGGCAAACAAATACAAATTTTGTATTTTCTTAGTTACCGAGTCATTAGCCGAGAATGCAAAGTTCAGCGCAGGTGTCATGGTAAAAACAATTCGTACGAATTGATAGCAGCAACTGTTTGCAATTTTTGTGTAATTAGCGGTATCCAGTAACGAGAATAAAGTCCAGTTTTATTACGGTTTTACAACGGTCCTCCACTTCCTCTCCTCCGATCGAGAGTGGGCAGAGAAGTGACTAGGAAACTAACGAAAGTGATTTCAATCATGTCATGTTTCGATTTTATATTTATACACTGAAAATAATAATTATAAATCAGTGGAAAAAATATATACGCACAACCTGTTGCGTAAGTCTGTTAGAGAGTTTTGTGTTACATAATTAGGAGACGATTAATTAATTAACTTACAAACTTAGAAGTTAGTGATATGATCATTCAATTAGAGAGTTTAAACTTTCTCGAATATTGCATATCACTTTAAAGGAATGATACTTCTAATTACTCTCTAACTGATAAATATATAACTAAGTTTTCTAAATACAAAATAATAGTATCTCGAATATGATAACATGTATGTATACATACATTTTAGTCACAAATTTACACTAACAAATTGACGTGTTGTAACAATAAAACATTTTTCTGTCACATTAGTGAAATATTGTACAGCAATTGACGAAAGTATAATTTATCTTGTTAATGATCAAATATTAACCAAATCAATTTCATGTAATGTGTCGTGACAGAATTGTAGTCCGCATATATTACGAATCTATTTTATATTTTTCAAGTATCTTAAAATTTTTCCAAACTTTGTTATAATAATGGATTATTATAAATTATAATTATTTATTATAATTTAGTTAATTTAATTTTTCTATTTATCATATAAAATGTACTCGTCACGATTTCATACAAAATATCCGTGTACATGGAGTCGGCGATGAATTACTTGCAGCAAACAGTACAAATCTCCTACGATTTTATCGATCGAACGATTCGCGATCTGGCCATTGCGGTCGCCGCAATGGTCTGGTGCTCTCGCTCTCCAGCAGATCGTCCTTGATATTATTTCGATCCTTCCAACCGAGCTTGACGGGCACCGGCACTTGCACGACGTACGGGAAGGGCTTTTTCACCGGGACGAGCACCGGCTTCGTCTCGTGCACCTCGTAAGGCTTGTCTACGGGCACTTTAATCGGAACGGCATAACGTGTCTCCACTTCGACCGGTACAGGTTTCTCTGCGATATACGGTTGAGGATCCGGCACTTTAATAGGCACTGGAACCGGCCTCTTGACCGGCACCAGATACGGCTTCTCCACGGGCACTTTAATTCTTACTGGGTACGGTTTAGGCACCTCTACCGGATACGGCCTGGTGACTTCCACGGGATACGGTTTCGGCACTGGTACCGGATACGGCCGATCGACGGCGACCTTGACCGGTACCGGTACCTTCTTCTCGACCTCGTACGGGGTCGGTATCTTGACCGGCACTTTGATCTCGTACGGTACCGGCTTGTCGACAGTAAATGGCTGCGGTATCGGCACCTTTACCTCGACCGGGATCCTTTTCTCAATCGTATACGGCTGCGGCACTGGCACCTCAACTTTGTACGGCACGGGGTTGTCGACCTTCACTTCGTAGGGTACTTGCTTCTCGACTTGATAAGGCTCCGGCACCTCAACCGGTACGTTCACGTAGACCTTGACCGGGTAAGGCACCCTCTTCTCCACCATGTACGGCTGCGGCACGGGCACTTTGATCTCGTAAGGAATGTGCTTGTAGACCGAATATGGAATCTTCCTCTCAATTGTCACGGGTACCGGCACTTTCCGTTCCACGGTTACGACCTTCTCATTGCCCCAGCCCGTGTCCTCGTGAGACCATTCGCTTCTCGGGAATCTCTTCCACGTATCCGCCGTGTCCTTGAAATTGATCTTGCTGGACCACGCGTTAAAGTCCCGGTCTTTCGTGCGTCGAAACGCGAATGTCGAGTCCTGTGAATACTTGCTCCAATCGTCCGCGTCTTCTTCTGGCTCCGCTTCACCGCTCACCGGCTCGTATCCGCCGCTGTCGCCATAATCGTCATCCTCCTTCTTCCCTTTGTCTGGATCTTTTCTAACATTGGAATAAGACTCCCGGACAATCTTGGATTCCGTTGTGGTATTTCCGCCGTCGAGGAGTTTTTCCACTGCCCTCTCGGCCGCCCTTTCAGCTGCCCTTTCTACTGCCAGCTCGGCAGCTCGCTCGAGCTCCTCTCTACGACTGGCCGACGACGTAAGGGCAATCCCGAGGCACAAAAATGCTATTAGACACTCCCGCTGTTTAAAAAAATGTATTTAACATACAATCATTTGTTTAATTTATGTAGCATACTTCATATTAAATTTAAATGTTTAGACTTTTTTTTAACCATTAGCTAATTCATTCATTCTACAGGTGGAATAATAAAATTATAAAATACAAGAGTTATTAATGGCAAATTGATTGATAATAAGTTTTTATCATAAATTTCTTTATAAAGAAAACCTTTTACTATTAAGATATAGAGATACCTGGTGTCCCATAATAGTGCCTTTGCGATCAAGACGATAGGTCGACCTATACTGAATCTAAACGGAAAGTTATCCCACTATTATTTATACACCGTGGACGACTTTCGCCGGTTCAACCAGCTGGACCTTTATAGCCTTGCAGTACCTTATTCGTGACAATTATCTACGCTTAAATGATCATCATTGTTTTGCGGCATAACTACGAGCGTCGTTCATTCGCCAGGAATGAACCATGCTACCTGCTTTAAAACCGAGGCAGTATACGAAACGCTTAAGTAGTTTGAATCGCGGCTCCTCGAGAAAAATGCAAAAGTTTCCATAGAAAAGATTTTTTTTTGCTTCACGCTCAGTTGCTCTGTGCAGATTGGTCCCGGGATTTCTCGCTTGTATTAGTTATCTCTATTAATATCAAAGTTATTGCCGTTTTTTTTTGTATAACGCGCATAAAATATTTTGCAATTTTATTTAACGATCCTATTTGCAATAAAAGTTTTCAATATCGTGAATCTAATTTAGAGAAATATTTACAATTTGTTTGTGCATTAATATCAAGTCTTTACCTACGATTTAGTACAGAAATAAGAAGACGAATTAGATTTAATAAAGGAACAGGAGGTCTTACGAAGTATTATTTGACACACGACAGAAATGCATAAGTTGCCATTTACTATTTTCTAAGCGTTCTAGTTCATTAATCTGTGCGAGAAGAATGCCGGATTAGCGATACTGTTTACGAGTAGCCAATGAAAGCGAATAGGCACTTTCTATGCCGAATCGTAAAACCAAATGATACTTGCATCGCCATATCTTTCCCAGAATATTCAGTTAGATTTTTCAATAAGCAGCAATCTTCTGGCGTTTCTCTTATCTCACGCCGCACGAGTACTTCCGGTGAATGAGTACAGTCTCTCTGAATTTCCACCGACGTTCGATACATATCAAGTATCGCGAATTATACAGATAATTGTGTAGATCCAACAATAAGTCTTATAAAGTAAAATTGAAAGGAGGACAAGGATGAATTTTATAAAACTCCACAATTCGAATAAATAACTCATATCGATTTGTATGTTTATCGATGATACCACACGCTGAACAATCGCAGTATTGTTTGCAAGGTAACGTCGTAAGCTCGCGGAATTGTTGCATTAACTCCATCCCAAATGCAACCTCATTTTTCTGTTACAAGAAACAGACAACGCGCGTTTGCTCACGTATCGCGCACGGTTCGATTGGTACTTTCTTCTACAACAAATTGAATAATTCGAACGAATTTCCCAGATTAGTAACACCAGTGAAACCGAAACCGAACCGGTGTAAAAGTGCTCTCCACACGTCTTGCCTTCTCGAAGTTGCACTTTCCCGCTTTAGCGGCGGTTGTATTAACCACTTAACTGCCTATATTTATACACGTTTCTCGAAACTTTCTTCTGATATTTCCCGGAGATATGAGAAAAAGAAGAACCTCCTTCGTCACCCGGCCAATGACAGCTCCAGCCGGGCGCTGTTTATTCTATTCCGCTTTCGTTTAACTTTATCCCGCGCTGGTATTATGACAATATAAAAAGCGTATCGCGCTAATGTTCGTTGTATTTTTAATAATAATAATGCATCAAATGTACGTAGACCGGACCGAGCAGTATCTTGACAACACGGAAGAGTCCGAGTGAAATCGTAACATATGCCGCTTTGGATACTTGTTACGCGAACTATAATCATTTATTTCGTAAAGTTTGCACTCGCCGTAAAGAAAAGCATAAAGTGATATAAGAGCGACGTATAACCGTAATTGCTTCGCGTGCAAGTACATTAACTGCGACTATATTCCGCATCTGGTAGCGTTCTGCGAAGAGTTTGGGATACACGATACAGATTTGGAAATGTCTCTCTCCGTCTGTAACGTACCTGCCAATATTAAACCGCGATCGTCAGAGAGAAAGTTGCGGAAGATTATAAATTTAGATCCTGTGTTCAAAACAGCGAGAAATAATTTAATTTTTATTATAACAGAAAACGGTACCGTTTCTCTAATAAATGGCCTAGCATAATGCGTTTATTATTACCATCGAAATAAGCTCAGAATTGCGTTAGTCCGTGCTATAAACCTGCGTGAGTTACGCACTTATGTTTACAGTGGCATTTCTACTGACGAACTCGGCTGAAACTAATCTTGAAACGTGATACAGATTAATGATTACATTTTGAAAGTCAATTTAACGTTTGTTATGTCATACGCGATGCAATTGCGATTCAATCGAGAAAATATCTTGGAACATAACCTGATTTTTGTTCATTGTGATTTAATAAATAAATTAACAAAGCTCATTAATAGTTCTAAAACATCTTGTAACATCTTTTCCTGAGATTTAAGGAAAAATAAAATAAGATTAATTGCGGCACTTTTGCAATTTAATCTGACTTTTTAAATTTCTTAAAATCAAATAAAAATATCCAATTTTACTCAGCTAGAGTTATGTGTATTATTTTCAAAAATTTGCAAAATATATAATATACAACAGCATATTCATAAAAATTCTTTCAAGGTACAAGGAAATGTTTCACATACAGTTATTTTGTAATATGTTAAATGTTTTATAATTGCGAAATTGATGATTGATAGAGATACAATGTCGCTTCGAGCTAGCAGCTAACAGTCGGATTAATTGTAAGAAATAATTGCATTTCGATGAACAATATACAGCGTGAGACTTGCCTCTTTTGCGTCGCGCCGCGCGAATGCCAATAAAGCTCGTGTGATTAATTCGCTTCCGCGATTGGCCATTGCACATTTCGTAAATCAAATCACCCTAGTGGCCCAGTGTATTGGCTAAACATTGGTCCACTATTAGTTATATTAGAAATGCATTGGCCAATATTGTCCAACGTAAAGCAGGTATTGGCCATGGAATAAATGTAAATATTGCACGATAAGAATTATATGACATTATAGATGTATATTGGAAGTGCATTGGCTAATAATTAACAATATTACAATATTAAACCAATATTGCTAAATAGATATATTGGCTAAATAAGAGAAGGCGTCCATCTTACAATATCGAAAACACAAGATTTACATTATTTCCCAATATTGCGCCAATACATTGTGCTACTAGGGTATAATGATGATTAATTAAAATCAACTTGACTTAATAAAAATAACTATTAAAGGATACCTACTTACGAATACTTTACCACGTGCAATGTGGTCGATTGCTATTTGCAGTATTGCAGGAAAGGACAGACATTCCATAATCACGGTCAATATCGTCGCGGTTCATTGTTGTATTTTGCACCGATCGATTACATGTCATTCCGGTTGTAATTACGAGGCGGTGAAAGTGAACACGACTATTGGAGTCGTAACGGAAAGAGGCTTTAAACGTATCGCAAGAAGTTAATTGCAACTTACTCGATTACATTCTACTACCATTCTTATCCGCTTAATTATCTTCCTTTACGCGTTTCGGTGAAGTTGTTAATTGACGGCAATTATAGAGACGAGGAATAGGATCGCTGACGTCAAGTCCAACGGGAACGAATTACATTTTTATTCGAAATTTGGGTGATTGGGTCGGAGAAGTCTTTTTATTAAACATCAACCGTTTATTTTCATACTACAACAAAGAAGAATATGACTCCGTCGGTATATACTGAGTGCGATAAAAACGTGTTGCGGAGATGGCATCACACATACTTTCTGTATACGCTCAAGAGTAAAAAATTTCGTACAATGTAAATAAATATTCCCTAAGGAAAAGAGTACATATAGAATGACAAATTACTTGCTTAATTACTTCATTATATCATGTTTAGCCTCGTATTTAAGAGCCTGCCTATCTTACACATCTTCTTTTTCGATTATTACGTATCTTCGAACCGAGAAATGCTCAAAGTACGAAGCCTCTGACAGCTACCTTGTCATTTATATCTGACAATGATTAACTTTAATGAATGACTACACTCTTTGGTATCCCGCATCTATCGGTGTTTGATACCTTCGTCTATCGGCACCGCGACCGGTATCTTAACCGGATAGGGAACAAGTTTCTCAATGTGATACTCGACCGGCTTGCTCACGTGAATCGGCACAGGTCTCTCCACTGGTATCTTTATCGGTACAGGCACGAATTTCTCTACGGCATACGGTACTTGTTTCTCGACTAAATATGGCGCCGGTACGGGAATCTTTACCCTGACCGGTACCGGATGGTCCACCGGAATCGGTATCGGTCTCTCCACCTTCACTCTGACCGGAACCGGCACCGGCTTCTCGACTGGATACGGAACTGGCTTCGCGATTGGTACTGGGTATGGCTTTGATACCGGAACCGGTACCGGTTTGTCCACCAGGATCTTGACAGGATAATGAATGATTTTCTCAACTGGATAGGGGTGAGGTACGTGTACCGGTATCTTCACCGGTACCGGCACTTTTCGTTCTATAGGGAACGGCCGCGGTACTGGGACCTTCACCTCGTAGTGTATCTTTCTCTCGATCGGATACGGCTGCGGGACGTACACTTTGACCGGTACAGGACGGTCCACCGGCACTTTAACCGGATATGGGACCTCCTTGACGACCGGCACCGGCTTTGGAATTTTTATAGGAACTTTAACGAAGACCTTGACGGGATACGGTATTTGCTTTTCGATCGCGTACGGCTGCGGAATCGGCACTTTGACCGGATATAATACTTTCTTCACCACAGGATACCGGATAGTCTTTTCTACAGGGTACGGTACCGCGACTTTCTTTATGACCGTAACAGTTTTATCGTCGTTACCTAAAACTTGATAATCGTTTACGCTTTGTTCGCTCTCCCCACCGCTATCCAATTCAACGCCCAAGTGTTTTTCGTATCCACCTTCGAGGTCATGTTTAAAATGTTGAACGTGGGAGCCTGAAACTGAACGATTATTTTTCGGGTAGGAATTAAATTTAGTCTTGTTAATTAAGTCTAACAGATTTATCATAACATTGCTAGATGAATATGTTAGCTTTTACATCGCTAACTTTATTAAATCTGCCAAAATACTTACATTGACTATCTTTAGGCTCCTCTTGCTCGGTTTTGAATACATCCCTGTTGTAAATGTTTTCTTCTGGCATATAATTGGCTCTATTTTGCCTTACGTAGAGAGGCATAATTTGACGAACATATCGTGTTGCGGGGAAGTGAGTGTACCTGTATACGTGTCTATCATAGCTGTTAGGAATCGGAACACTCATTGCAGTGGCCATAAAGAGTGGCAATAAAAACCTCGCGTGTCCCTGCAAATAGCAAAACCTAAACAATTTCACAAATTTCTTCCGCATTTTAGCACAGAATAAATAAAAGCTACCTAAAGATATTTTTGCATCTGTGGCTTGAAGACAAAATGTTCTATTTTCCAAGAAAGCTTGCAATACTTTATTACAATGAATCGTTTGAACGAGGTACACGTTAGATTCATCATTTTAGAAACAAACTTGAATCAATACCTTTATTAAATAAATCAGAAAATTAATTAATTCCCAAGAGATTACACACTAAATTTGGAGACACATAGCAATCCAAGATATTCACGCTCTACTTTATTTGTAATAATTCTTGTAAAGAAGAAAGTCTAATGAAACAAAAATAGATTTCTCGTATCCTTAAAGAGCTTTTTGTTTCCTGAAATATAAATTATGATACATTGATACAATTATTTTAACATTAATACAAGCTTTAGTATATAAATTTCTCTTTTAGAAAAAGTAATATCACAAAATTACTAAAAGCAAAAGTTTGAAATAAGATTTATTATATAAAAGATGTTTTATGCACTGTATTGCACCCCCCAATGAAATTTTTGCATATCTAACACGAACACACCATTCGAGGAGAAAATGTACACAATTGAATTCTTGACACTGACAACAACAAGCGTTCACAGCACTGAGTATCCTAACAGCGTAAGACGTACCCCATGTCTCATCCTGAACGAAATGGATCTCTTGGGATCTTCTCTGAGAATAGTCTCTTCTCTCTTCGAGCACGTTGCTCGAGTTAACAGTAAATAGATCAGATGTATACTTTTACCACCTTATATATGTGGCTGCCAGAGGCGTGTTACTGATCTAGAGGCTGTACACGCGATGCCTTCTTCAAGAGGGGATGGATCACTTTCGCGTTTCGTTATACGTGCGAAGAGAGTGAAAACATCTTGTCCGCATAAGCAAGAATCTTTTGGAAAAGCGCCGGCACACACTGCTACCAATATACTTATTCGTAAAGGGAGACACGTTTATTGTACCGGTGGCAAGAAATCTCGTTCGCCTCTTTTATAGGAGGTTGCCATTTTCTTCGACCGGTCGTGATCTTGAATTGGAATCATTGTCGCATTTATCGTAGATACAATATACAAAATATATGTTGTTTGAAAAAAACCGCGAATAAAGGGGGAAGAATAAAGTGCAAACGTACGATCTTTAAAAGTTGTTTTAAAAAAAACTGGTTCAGTAAAAACGACTTTCTAAAGATCTACTGGCAACGATAAATCTTCAATAATACCAATTGCTTGTATCGATAACAACGATTCTTATCGCTGAACTTTATGTTACTCGTTCCGATGCGTGACGATGTCTTTACCGCCGGAAACATAATCGGTCACTTGCGAACGTAAACGCGACCATAAATCCGGCGGACTAAACTTCCCCGCTACGCATCGCTGCTTCGCCGAGATAAGCTTCGTCGTACGCAGAAAGTGAAAAGTGTCAAAGACCTTTTCACGTTGGCGCGATTACGGAAACTTGCGCAAAGCGGCTGGGGGTAACCAGTTCCGCAACGTTCGCTAAACATGGTTTTTCGATATTCCCCCAAAGCTCGTAATTAAGGGTATTTGGCTGCAAACGCATAAGTTGAGGGAACAGAGTGAGCTTCGCAATCATGGCGAACGTACACCGATTAATTCTAAATTACATAAATGCTTGTATCGATTATACAATCGAAAACTAAGTTTACCTTTACTCGAGAGCGAGAAAATTATCTAATACAGATATTAATTAAATTATATAAACCGTTTCCTTTAATGCGCGTACTCGTTTCTTACCGGATTACTTATCGGAGCGTTTAAGCTAATCGTACCATGCGTCGACCCGTTATCTGAGACGGTAATCTGAATTGGCGCGAATAGAACGGATCATTTGTTTAGATAGACGTGAAAATTATGTACATGCGGATTTTCGTACGTAAGAGGGAGGTAACAGGTAAACGATGTGACACATTTGCAATGTAATCGTACTTTAACGCGATCGCGATACGAACAATGCGTGTTTTCCCAAGACCATCGCGAGGAGAAAATGACGCTCTCATTGTTTCACATGATGCGCAGGTCGTTTTGTACGGATTTCGCGATGAGCGGCACGCGATCCTGACTGCGATCCGTGGATCACCGATCTTCATCATCGTCTTCCAACGCGCTTGCGTGTCAGATATTTGACGCTCGAGAGCAAGCGCATTATTCGCGATAATTAGTCGTACAGTCCACACGTCATTACCCGCGATTTCGCGAACGTTGTTCGCGAATTTTTCACGATGGATCGCGAGAACGGAGAGAGTTTTGACCGATCGGACGGATCTTCTGTCGAGGATCCACTGGGTTGGGAGAAACCGCGGCGCGATGCGGTGAAGCTTTCAAATCGTCAATTAGCGTTTTTAACGCGAGACTGCATGCAGTCGGCAGATTTTTCACGCTGCGACGATGTCATTATGACTTTTCCGAATGGACATCTTCGCAAAAATTGGCTGTATTCGTTTCGAGGACGAGGAAGTCGAGCGCGGAAGCGCGTGCGGCGCGCTTTGAAGGTGCGCTTCACGCTTCCGGATATCTAGATTATAACATAAATGCGCGAGATTCGACGAGCGATAAAATGAAGGAAGAAACGCATTAGTGCGTGCAAATACAAATATAAGAATAAATTTACTGAAGTCGCTGCTGAAAGATACGCTTTTTAAATCACGCGCCGACGTAGCAACCGCTGTAATAATAGTAATTTTCCGGTCCCACACGTGTGATGGCTGTCTAGTTGAGAAGTCAGTCTTGCGAGACTAATCGTATGGCAATAATTCATATTTCAATGTACTTTTCAATTACTGGCTGTTTTACATGCCGCGCTGAAACTCTCAGTTCTCTCGATTTACGCCTGCAACACTCGCCGCTGACAAGTCAGCGTGTTATCTATTAAAAAAGAGAGGATGATTCGTAAATCAAAGATTCGTGAGTCATTACTAAACGTGATATTTGCGGATTAATTCAAATAAACTTGGCGCGCAAACCTACCTTCGTAATTAATGTTTTCTTAATAACGGCGGAACTACATGTTTGTGCGCTCGTAAACTTTCTTACATCTTTAATATATAGGTTTTGCCTTCACTCTCGAGATCACCGCGTTATTAGACACGTACTTTCTAGCGCATATAAGACAGCGGGAAAAATAATACCATTTTAATTATATTTGTTATTTAATCTTCCGACTTTGGATGTCTCCGTTTAATTTTAAAGCGCCAACATGATAATTATTTAATAAGAATATTCTTCAAGTCGCCAGCAGTAATTAACAACTTCAGTATTTTCTTCACCATATCTGGCATTTTTAATAATGCAGAAAGTTTATTGCGAAAAATATTACATCAGACATGGTTTGAACCTGGACTTCCCTACACTCTAGGCGGGCGTCTCACCGATCCGACCACTGAGAAATGTACATTTTTTCGCAATAAATTTTCTGTATTATTAAAAATGCCATATATGGTCAAGAAAATACTGAAGGTGATAATTATTGTTGCATTTCGTCATTATATCACAAAGCAGGGTTGGGAAGTAACTCGTCACTTGCAACGAAGTTACAGTTACTTCCCCATACAGCACGCATGTCTAAAAGACATCTTTAAGACGTCTTTAAGACTTAAAGATGTCTTAAAGACGTCTTTTAGATATGCGTGCTGTACAGGTTCCTTTGGTAACTCTAACTTAACTTCGGTACTTTCTCTCCGTCTGTAACTTAACTCACAAGTAAACCTACCCAAGTGGGGACACACCGATTTTGATGAGTGTTGAATATGTTGTTTTTCAGCTCAAAATAAGGGACACGTATTCTTTTATACGTGCCCATACGCACTTTTAGGTGGTGAGATACCCTCTTCAAGAAAATTTGATTTTCTCTTTCGGGGCGAATATTGACGAAAGTGTAAGAGCTAGAAAACATTTTTTAAGATTAGTATAATGGGCCAATAAAACATTTTTTAATGAAAGTGGAATGGTTTCAATAGTACTTTAAAACTATGAGCAAAAAGTTTTTAATTTTTTATTTTTTTAATGCCCCCACCACGCAACATTTTTTATTACAATTTTGAACTTTATTATACGGTTGAATTCGTAATAAAGTATAAGGCTTTAATTTGGTGCTAAAAAATTTTTCAAAATTGTAATAAAAAACGTTTGTTGAGTGGTGGGGGTATTTTGAAAAAGAAAAATTAAAAACTTTTTGCTCATAGTTTTTAAGTAAGTACTATTGAAACCATTCAACGTTTATTTTTTAAAAAATTTCTAGCTCTTACACTTTCGTCAAAATTCGCCCCGAAAGAGAAAATCAAATTTTCTTCAAAGGGGTATTTCAACACCTATAAAAATACGTGTCCCTTATTTTGAGCTGAAAAACAACATATTCAACACTCATTAAAATCGGTGCCTCCCCACTTGGGCAAGTTTACTTGTCAGTTACATTTTTTCGATAACTAGCAGCTAATTTAATAGTTACATTAATAGTTACTTTATATATACAATATTAAACCTCCACAGATTGCATCAGGCCTTGTATTTGCGCATAAACGCCTTTATCGACGCTTTACAATTCAAATGCAGATCCGATATTTTTATTTTCGTTGCAAAAAAGTAACTAACTGCAAAGTAACGATTCGTTACTTTTTGAGTAACTGTAAAATTAATTGATTTTACATTAGTTTTTCAACTGCTTAACAAATTTTGATTACATTTACAGCCAATGTAACGCACCTTGTTTATTTATTTTTACGTACAATAACATTTTGCTTTGAACTACATTGTGACTATTGATATCCCCCGTTTATATCCTAGGCTAAAATTATAACAAATTGTCGCTTCTAATAGCAATTACAATAAAACTCCCCTATGCAAGTGTCGATCACTAAAAGTACAAAGTGGATCATGATTCGTTCGCGTCATTACTTTCGCTTATCGCGGATCACATTCTCACAATGCAATTTAGTACACGTTATCCCAAGTATGCTGCTTAAACATTATCTGCAGTAGCTACAGTCGATATTATTTCTCACGTTCCAGATAATTAAGCTACACGTACTGACAGTATCCTCAAAAGATAGTAACATGAAACGAAGAAACAAAAAACTTGGATTTTAACATTGACAACGAAAGTATGCTCATTTAACCTTCATGGTTACAATCATTAAACAAAAATATTGTAGCTTTGGGGCTTTGGTTTCATTTTCCGCAGAACAAATCAATTACACTTGTGAATAATTAAATCTCGTATAAGCTGTAGCACGAAAGAAGCTCTTCAATAGTTTATTTGCAAATTGATGACAAAAATTTAATTTGGAAATTGATTTCATTTTTAAATGTCTTGATTGTATCAACAAATGTGAAAGTGACTAGCTGCTTTACCGGTTACCGTCGTCGAAAGCAGTTGAGAGAAACACCGTTTCTTCTGTGGGACTCGTTCAGTGTGCGATACCAAGCATCCAGCTTTCTTCAATTTAATTTCTTGAGCATTGACGACCGATAACTCGTATAAAAATGTGTAATTTTGAAGAAGAAAGACGCGATCAAACAACGATTCAACCGTACACGATTTAATTTAATTTAAATTAATTTGAATTTTAACGTCTGAAAGTTTTATCAAACTCGTGAAATTGGGCATATCGTTAAATGTGAAAATTATTTTCTCGATTCCGACATTGCGGCATTTAACGATGCGAGCGCGCGTGGGCAGCTCGTTTCAAAGATAACACGAATATCACACCAAATGTCAAATAACTGGCTTGAGATCCTCTCACTCTAAGTGATTAGGTGATAGAAAATTTCGTAACGGAATTACCAACCACGAAGGATAAACACAACGATGGCGAAATTTAAATTATTAGTTTGGCCAATGCGATTTTATTGAAGAAAAGAAATCCTCTTAATTTAAATTGTTCAATTAAATTTCGTAATTCTTCATGGAACACGCATAAGCATAATTACATACGAAATTTGATACGTCTTCCTTTTATTATAGATGTACTGATCGCAACGATCGGGAGTTTCATTCTGTCGTGATTAAATGTCAAATTAAACTTTTATTAAAATGAAGAGGCGCTCTTCGACTCAGGCAAAAAAAAAGAAGAAGCTTCAAATCGTGAATATAAAATCCGCCAAAGCTCTGACATTTCAGCAAGCTACCAGCCTTCTCACGTTACGCTACGGCGTTCGTGATCTCAAGATCTTTGCGGGCCGATATTTTTTTAACGAAGGGCAGTGACGTTGTTCGCTCCGCGTAATTGTCTTAGATGGAACGGTTTCGCGAGTCAAGGCGAAGAGGTGCGGCGGGACAGATAGAGGAAGCGAAAGGACTCCGGTGGGCCTGGAAAACGGACGAAAGGGGAAGTAGACTTCGCGGCAGCGCCGCGATCTTTCTCGGCGATGGCGAAGGGGAGAGACTCTTACTTTCAGCCTCGGCGTCGCGTGCGCTAATGGCGCGATTGCGTAACCGTTCCCGTGCTCGCGGCGGAGACGAGCACGTAAGTCGTTGCTTCAAGTCGTGAGTCAAGTGGCAAAGCCAACGCGCGCGCTCCGACCGAAGTGGGTCGTGCAGAAATTAGTCGCGGATGCATCGGCTTCACCTCCGACAACGGTACCGCAACGGCGCCAGGGGAGCCTCTGCCGCAACGAAACGCTACGATTGGGTAACGAAGGCCGGAATAACGAGGCGTAATCGAAGATCGAACTGCCCCGTTCGCCCTTTCGGACTTCTTCACTCCATTGCGCTTTCGATGCTCCGCGGCTAATTCATCGTAAATCAATACGAGACGAAGCGGAGCACCTTCTATTCTCTCTTTTTCTTCGCGTTTTTTTTGTCTCGAAAGATTTTCTGTCAGATTTATCAGTAAATTAAGAGTTCGTATAATTTTTTTACAAGGATAAAGGTAAAAAAACAATGACGTAAAATTTTATATTTTGCAAAATTATATTTTTCAAAATTTGATGAAAAAACGTGACGGAGAAAGTTAAATCGAGGGCAATCAAAGTCACGGAAGATACCATGTACACACGTGGATTATGTTTTGCATAATTATATCCAATACAAACTTTCAATGAGTACTTTGGGAACACCTTCTGACTTCGTTAGAGCAATTTAATTCCCCGGATTAAGATGATAACTTCTCTGCGGGGGAAATAAACCACCATGGAACACCACCATGGAAATACACTCAGACTTTCATGTCTCCCGGGGGAAATTCTGGAAATATAGGATAATGAAGGTCGAAACGATAAATTAAATATTGATTACCGTATCACATATGCATTTTCCACGTAATTTTTAGGTAAAAAGACGCGATCGAACCATGATTCAACTGTACACGATTTAATTTAGTTTAAATCAATTTGAGTTTTAACGTTTGAAAGTTTTATTAAACTTCTGAAATTCGGCATACCGTTAAATGTGAAAATTATTTATTTTTTATTTTGCGGATCAACTTTTGATTTGATATCTTCTACTAAAGCATTGGTTTGTAAATGTTTATAAAACTGTTAGTTAAATAAAAGTTTGTATATACATAAAATAAAATGACAATATAAAATATAAATTATTCTTTAAATATCAATTTACGGTATACAAGAAAGTTGGAATCAGCAATATAAATTTTAGAAAAAAGGGAAAAGTAATATCAAGGTACATTTAACTACAAAGTAAGTCGTCATTTTTTAAAGTTAGCGTTTTTAATAAAACAACCATTATTACGAATGTTAAAATTTTCTCAAAGCATTCTTTTAAGAAAACAATAGGGAATTCATTCTTAACCATTTTTCGATACACGTGATTATCGAATTAGGGTGGGGTTGAAAATGCAGAGTAGATTACGCTCAAGGTTATCGATTTGACGGAAAACGTGTTGGCGCCGGAAACTGGGTCGACAACTTATCATTTAATTTCATGCTTTCGCCGATAGAATGCAATGACATTTATCAACAAGTAGAAAAGAGCAGAGGTCCAAGATATTTTAAAAACTAGCATTAATCTCACCATTTTTCCTGGACGAATAACAATTTTTCTTTTCATTTTGCATATTTTTTATATATTCTTAAAGTCAGTATCATATCTATATATTACATATTTAAAATTGTACATAATATATAAAAAAATATATTATAATAAGTAATTGAACCTACTTTATTTATTACATTTATGTTGTTTGCAATCTTTTGAAAACATTTTTTCATCCATTCATTACATTGTTATTTTAGAGAAAAAAAGCAACGTATAGGAGGTAAGAAAAGTGAGTAGGTTACATAAAGCACGCCAATAGCACCTATGTACAAGTACTTTATATTAATATTTATTTCGTTTTCTGTAAAAAAATACATATACTTTGCTAATATCGGTACAAAAGTAAGACAAGCGAGCTGCTCTCGAGCGAGAAGATCGCTAAAGACGAGTACATCCCTACTGGTCATTCGTTCTTCCTAACTGGCACACGTCGCCGTGCCGCGTTCTCGTTGCGATCGGATTCAAAGGTACGATGGCCCGATATTTGCGATCGTCTACCGGATACCGTCCCCGATCCCGATCCAGGTACAAAGTGGCGGATATCGTTGCGCCGCACGGCAACGTTTCGGATCGGTAACCTTCGTAACCTAAGACAAGGTCCTCGCAGTTATCCGTCGTCGTCGCTGATGAGATTTGTTGGGCGACGACGATGGAGAACCAACCGGGAGGTAGCGATATTAGTGGTGGCCGTAGTGGTCACCGTAGTGGTGGTGACCAATGTCGCCACCCTCGTATCCACCGCCGTATCCACCGCCGTATCCACCGCCGTATCCACCGCCGTATCCACCGCTGTAGTAGCCGCCGTGGTGCTCGTGATGGACGGGCACAGCTACCGGCACTTTAACCGGGTAGGGCACGGGCTTCTCCACGGGGTAGGGCACAGGCTTCTCGATGTGAACGGGGTACGGCCTGTCGACTGGGACCTTGATTGCTACCGGCACGGGTTTCTCCACCGGGTAAGGTACTGGCTTCTCGACTGGGTACGGATGCGGTACTGGTACTTTGACCGCGACTGGCACAGGCTTCTCAATGTGGACGGGGTACGGCCTGTCAACTGGGACCTTGACGGGGTAGGGTACCGGCTTCTCGACTGGCACAGGCACAGGCTTCTCGATGTGCACGGGGTAGGGCTTGGGCACAGGCACGTGGATGGGACGGTCGACCAGGACTTTGACGGGATAGGGTACGAGCTTCTCGACCGGGTAGGGCTGGGGTACGTGGACTGGGACCTTCACCGGTACCGGAACTGGTTTCTCGACGGGGTACGGCTGCGGCACTAGTACTTTTACCGGTACGTGAACGTGTTTCTCAACGGGATAAGGCTGCGGTACGTAGACCTTGACCGGGACGGGGCGGTCGACCGGTACGTGCACCGGGTAGGGAACCTTCTTCTCCACCGGGTATGGCTGGGGCACGTGTACGGGCACCTTGACGAGGACCTTGACTGGGTAAGGCACGTGCTTCTCAACTGGGTACGGCTGCGGTACGGGCACTTTGACGGGAACCGGTACGGGCTTCTCTACCGGATAGGGCACGTGCTTCTCCACGGGGTAAGGCACGGCGACGTTCTTCACAACGGTCACGGTCTTTACGTGTTCGTGATGATGACCACCGTCGATGTATCCTCCGCCAATGTATCCGCCGTATCCGTGTCCGCCGTATCCGCTGTATCCGTGTCCGCCGTATCCGCCTACATCAAGGCCGATGTGTCCACCGGATCCAATATCGTATCCGCCATCATAGCCGTAGCCGTAGCCAAGACCCAACAGCCCTCGCTTCTCTTGCTTCTTCTCGGACTTGTCTACCGATTTCTCCACTTTCGCGGTCTCCTCCGACAGCACTGTCGCGACCACGATGGCGGCAACTGCCACGTAAACCTGAAAAAAAATACGCAATGTCGTCTGCTCTTACGCTTCATGTGAAATAATGTCAATGTTACGATTTATTGACCCATTCGCGATCGCCCGAGCGTCGCAATCTCTCAATGACGCACATCGAAGAACTGGTTGATAACATTGTATCCGCGAGAATGAGCCTTTCTACTATTAACATATGCAATAAAGCAAATGCGTGTGTCTCCGGCGTCGCGAAGAAGAAAAGAAGAGTGTATGAATTTAACGTACAAATATTTTTTAAACAGTATTCTAGATGAACAATTATTTATCGTCTTCGCGCTTCAATCAAAATCTATTCCGATCCATAGAATTAAATGCACAGGTATTTACATCACCGCACGATGTAGTATGTATCCTCTCGAAACTCTGACCGAAGCTCAGAAATGAATTGCATCAAAATGCCGCGATAACGTATATTGCGTACGAAGACGATACGTTCACTTCGCAATAAAGTGAAACTGCTTTAAAAATGGCGCAACCGCCGAGCGTTGGCAAATTGCGGAAAGTCCTATCGAAAAAAGAAAATGAAACACTTGTTCGAGCAACTCGTTACGCGGAGTAACGCGTGACTTCTCGAATCTATCGCGACGAGGGCTCTCCGTCGAACGATTCACACCCCCGATTATCGTCCCGCGAGACTCTCCGTCGTCTCGTTTCACTTGTCGCAGGTGCCCTCGTCTAATCGGGCCTCTTCGGTACACGGGAGATTTCTACTCCCGAGGAGAGCCGGTCGTTCTCCGCGGCGGCGCGGCGGCCCGGACGAGAGGTATCGAAGTATCGAAGTCGAACTACGGCGACGTACCAGGATTCTCATTTTTGCTCTCACGATGTTCCGGGTGCGTCCAGGAGTGAACTGGATGCTGATTGCCGTCGATTCCTGGCCTTATATACGCGGCACACTTTCGCCTTCGCCACCCGGGGGCCCGCCGGGTCCGGGGCCCCAAGTCGTATACCCCCACGTTACACCTCTTTGTTCAGCTACGACGACGACGGTCCCACCGTCCCGAGCGACCACCACTCCCCTTTGGGACAGTACGCCCCACTCCCCCTCCCCTACGAGTACGCGAAGAAACGCTCCTCTCCTTCTTCAACGAGCGGGTTTCGCTCTCTTCCTCCTCCGTCCGGGTGCTCGCGCGCGCGCGCAAAGCTTGACTTCTTTCTTTTTCCTCTCGTCGCATATCTTCGCAGGTACTCCGGCTGCGCTTTGGTTTTATGCGATACTTTCTCTGAAGCCACGGCGAACATACCGATCGTCACCGCCGTGAACTCCCCTTGGTGTCGGAAGCTGCCGACGGGACATCGATCGTGTCCGCGTGCCTTCCCTAGTTCGGGCGAACGCCCGGATTAACCCGGTACGTGAAAAGTCGCCTCTTCGCACGTAACGTTCTGCCCGCAGAGCCCGGCCTGGACGGGTCACGATCCGTTCGCCAGTAAATCTGTCAGGCTGATACGGATATATATCGGGTAGGAACGCGACACACGCGTCAACCCGAGCGACGCCGCCGCGTCGGCTGTCACTGTGTGCCCGCGTTGGCGTTTTACGTCCCGCGCGAGAGAGATTTATACGTCGATCGCGAGTTAAATCAAATTTCGCGTCGAGTCTCGCCGATTCTTGGCGTTGCACCTGACGCAATCCGGCGACGTTCCGTTAATTCCCCACCTTGGGGACCGACCCGTTTCGAAACGCGGTTAAAGTGCGCCCGAACCGAGCTCCCGACTTTTACTATGCGTGCCGTAGTTCCTCGAGGTACAAGTACCTCGCGACCGGAGCGGAAATCGGGCGAAACCCTTCCGGGGGTCTCGATCGCAACCGGCGAAACGCGCAATCGGGGATTGCGCCTTTTACGAAACTCGCTGCTTTATTACCGCCAACTGCCGATCGATCCATCGTCCGATCGAGCACGAGAGGATCGTACATTCTCACTCGGCTCCATTGATATATTATCTCTTTCTTTTTGTATACCAATTTACGATGAATTACATGCTGTGTATATAAATGCGAGCGTGCACGTAGGGCATTGACGTACGCCAACCCAGTTTCTCTCTGTTCGCAAATTATACTAATTTCCTATCCTTTTCCTGCAATTCCGTGCTCTCCCGCGAGAATGCATAATTCGCATTCCAGCGTTACGTCTGCTCTCCCGTGTGTCTTCAACATAATAAATTTCCCGCTTTTCACTCCGCCGCTTCCGAATAGCTCGCAATACCCACGGCCGGGCCGTAGAAAGGTTGCCCCTCCCGCTTTATTATTTCACCCGCGATTTCAGATTCGCGCGACGGACGTGGCGCCTCGGACACTCGACTCTTAACTTGCGTGGGATGACGTGTAGCTCCGTGCTAGCGCGACAGAGTAGTAACGGTAGGGTCCTCGGTTCGATCCCCGGCCCTCGTCCCGCATATTTTCTCGTCAAGGGAAATTTCAAAAACTCGGCGCTCGAACAAGCTTTAGGCGCCTGATGGTGGATTCATATGCTCAATCACGATTGAGCACATGAATTTAAAGGAATTTTGAGAAATATCACGTTCCCACAAAGGGGTAAACTTTTAAAAATTTGGACTTTTAACTCGCGTTAATTATACAATTTGTCCGCTGAGAAGAAGTACACTTAAAAGGGGAGACTCGCCAGCTGATCCTCTCAGCCTCAGCGACGACGTGAATAGACTCGAGAGAGCTTGCTCGGTAGACGAGCGGGAGCTAAACGGCAGCTTTTTCGAATTATACAAGAGATTTTCCTTTCGTTTTCCAACATCTTTCCCCGCGAAAACCCGTCGCACGCCGGTCGCGCTGACGCAACGTAACGCACGTTTCAGTCTACGGTGCCGTTGAATACGTCATTTTTCGTGGCGATCGACTGCAACGGTCACGCGAATCGCGCGCGGATCAACGTCGTCATCCATCCTCTCCCTTTCGCCATCACCGTTCCGTTTTCGTCCTCACCTCGCCCGCGTACGCGGTGCCCAACGCCTCGTAACGGCGCCACGTAATAGCAAACGTACGTGCATGCAGATGCACATGGCACAGTGCACAGGCAGCGCTAGGACTTATCTCCCGCCGATCTCGTGGGTGTACCCGCTGCTCCCTTTCGTGGGACACGCGGGGTCCCACGTCACGATCTCGCTCCGAGCCGGTCGGCCGGCGAAGTTCCGTTTTCCTCCTCCTCCTCCTCCGCCTAGCACGCGGCCAAGTATGTCGATGTTTACCGGCGCATTATCCACGGGACGTGATCACCTTACGCGACAGCGCCGCACGGTATTATATCAGCTCCACCCAGCAAATGATACCGAAGCTGCTCGCGGAAATCCACGCGGAGTTACAAGTTGTTTTTCTTTCTCTTTTCACGGGCGAAAGCGACGTGTTCCGCGATGCGGAATGGAGGAAGAGGAAAAGAGATTCCCCTTTTCCGTCGAGAGATACAATTTCGCGCGCTTTAATTCATCATGTAACGTATGACGGGTCGGACAAAAGTTCTCGAAAGTGATTTCATAATCTGACACAGAAAGAACTGATTTTCTGTAAAGGCGCAGTAGAATTTGAATTGGAATGAGAGAAAGTGAGCTCGACGAGCGAGCTGCCAATGCGAGATGCGTTTCTTCTACAAAGGGAGCAATTAAGAATCCGCACATGTCGATTACGGGATCGAAAACATTTATATAAAAATGTTCTCGTCGCGTGTCCCATGCCTAATTTGCACTTTCTACGACGCGATTTCGTTGCGTTCGCACTCGTCCTTCTGGCTATTAATTATAACTAACGAGGGGCGCTCGGTGTCTCCGATCTTTTAATCAAGTTGCTCGTAAAGCTAGCGTTTTCTGATTAAAAAGATCCGCGTCGAAATGATCGAGGCCGCCTGGCATTCAGGGCGAAGGTCTCGCCTCGGCTCCGTTCAACCGTGCAACCCAATTTAATCGCCTTTCCTCGCGGGACGATTCTTTCCCCTTGAATACCAATGCGACGCCTCGCTCCGACTCTCCCGCGATGCCATTTGGATGCGCTCGCCCACCCGTCAAGTGTGGGCAGAGACAAGAAAGGTTAATCGATAAAATTTGCCAGTAAAAACAGCCGCAACTGCGAAAGCAGGTGGCGGCGGGTTTCGCAACGCCGCAAAAATTTATGCCGAATTTCATATTCCGGCGCCTAGGAATTTTATCCGCTGCATCTGAATTCGGGCTTACGATAATCAGCTCTCGCCCGTAATTTCGCGTCTACGCCATAGCGCGCAGACCGCCGCGCGATAATCGGAGGTATCGTAATTAATGGACGACTGTTTATACGCCGGTTGTAGCGTCGATTGTAAAATTGTAAAATCAATTATAAAATTAATACCCTGCAAACGCTGTCTTTCTCAACGTACAGCAATGAATCCGAGGCTCGAGCCTGCGTGGGTGTTTATAAGCTGCGCGTGGCTTACCGCGGTGTGTTTAGCCTGGGAAATCGTCGATTTCATTAATTTCGTCGATGATTTCACGCACGCACCGACAGTCGTAACAAACATACACGTGTACTCGCGCTCGGACGTCCGCGCGTTACGACACTCGTCGTGTCTTTTCAAACGTCCCGCCCGACGGGTCGGCGGGCGGAGGGGAAAGTGGAAGTGTCGGAATAACGATCGTAATTCCGAGCCGCGGTCCCCCGGGTGGATCGCCCGGCCGGTGTTACGTAAAGGTCGTTGCCGATGAAGAGTCTCTCTCGGTGAAACGGCGGCGTGCCCACCGAGTTTATTGCCGAGCGTGTCCTGTCTCTTTCTCTCTCTCTCTTTCTCCCGCGCGGCCTACCTGACGGCGACGCCGGTATAGGCGCGCGCGATGACGGCGAGAGTGGCCCCAGAGTACTGTGTCTACCGTCATATTACACAGGTCCATAGAAACCGAGATTCCCCGTGACCCCGCCGACCCCGTTGACACTGGCCTTGAGGATCTCCTCAAGGCTCGCGAAAATTGACAGCTCGGACGTGACCACCGCGCGTCGCCTATCTTTAGAAACCACCTCCCGGCTGGAATCTAGACCAGTCGTGAATAAATAAGCGGATCTCTCGACATAATTTCCCCCCTCTGATATTTTGTAAACGGCAAACATATAAATATACAGAGGAAGTCCCTCAGTTATGAGGCAGCTTTCTAATACGAGACAGCGGATTTTCAGCGCCCAAGTTCAGTCGCAAATCTTCTTCCGCGACGAATCCACGATCTAACAATGAATTTTTCACTAATTGTAAGCAGATTTCGCTCCATGGGACAATAAATTCGTGGTATGGAATCGGCTGACGATAATTAGGGGATAATGATAATTCGTATTAAAATACACCGTCTCTTTTACGGTCGCGTGCGGAAATTGCCGGCCAGTAACAATTTTTGCTCCTCATTTGCACAAGTGAAAAGTAAAGTTCGCACTTTCGTGAGTGGCGACTGATGTAAGCACAACCGTGTGATATAAACATTTGATCTAACGAACGTTCAATATTTACAGATAACTGAAAAGATTGTGTCGCTGATCGGATAATCGTAATGAAATTCGCGTGATCTTCGCCTTACGCGAACTTTCTTCTATCCTTTCTCGTTCCGTTAACACACAATTCTCTCCGAGCGGTAATATCTCACGGTATTATGCGTCACAAAGTCAGTTAATTAAATAAGCGCGACAGAAAGGGGCACGTTGGTGTAACGAATGACCGTCAACTTTTCGCATTACCGGGACACTTTACGCTCTTCAAGTTTGCCCCCCACGCCTGAAATATTTATTTTCGCGCGGATACATGCGAGGCTGATTAAATGCGTCATTAAGTGTGTCGAGATATATGCGTAAGAGGTATGATATAAGTTAATTAGCTTTCTCTCATATTTTATAGGAATTTCGTGGCCGGGGTCCTCCAGTTTCAGCTGTATCGCTCGCTGTGCCAGGCTGCGGGGCAGAGGTTCGGTGTTGACAATCCGAGGAGGCCGCTGCACAGATGCGACTTTTACAGAAGGCCCGAGGCCGGCAGGATCTTGGGGTGAGATACGAAAAGTCCATTGAATTATCGTGCACTTAAAACCTTTGCGTCATTAATTTGCGCCACGTCTTGCGTAAAATCTGCCGAGCACGAAAAGCGGACGTGATGGCATAAAGGCCCGCATCTTTTAATAATCAGCTTTTAATCAGCGCATGCACGCGTGCTTTCGCAACGGCGCGGTTTCTTTACGGCGCGAAAACGCGACGAGGTCGACCGCGGCCTCGCCGAATTCGCTCGCGAAACGGAAACGCGCGGGGAGGAAAAACGAGCGTTTCTCACGCCGCGCTTGCGTAGCGTGTTGTATTTTTTATTATAATTAAAAAAGCTGCGCCGCTAGTTCGAGCCATTTCGAGCCATGTCCGGCAGGCAATCGTTACGCGGGTGCGCAAAGCAAGCAGAAAAACGCAAGTGCCGGCTAAACGGTGCATTAAGGCCCCATGAAACGCACAGGTGAATACGTAACTCGGTAACTTGTTTGAGTATCCGATGTTAATTATGTATAATTGAAAAGAGATGTCGACACGGAACTTTTTAATTTACGCGACACGTATTTGGGATAACGATGAGTCGAGGATACGCCGGGCATCGCGTTAAAGTGCCCGCGCACTTTGAGAGGGCTAAAGATTATCTGAATGAGTCTAAATTGAAAAACTGCGTTGCAATCTAGGTCGAATAAAAAAATGTAGATCACGGAGAATGACACAACATCGAGAGAAAGGAAGCAGGGCGGAGGAAACCGTTCATTGATACTGCGACCTCACCGTTTGTCTACTGCTTTATGCACAATTTTTTTCCTCGGCGCAGAACACTTTTTAAAAAGTTAGATTTGCAATATCTCTTTTAAAACGTAAGAAAGAATCGTTCCACGAGTTAAACTGGCAGGTGGTTTATTCAAATTATCCCGACGTTTCGGCCGTCCGGCTTGCGGTCCTTTTCAAGAAAATAATGTAGACGTCGACTGATCTCTTTCGCAAGGCGGTACCTCGATTTTACGCAATTTTCGGCTTTTGTGTTTGAACGCTCATTCTGGTCCAGAATGCGACGAAACAAAAAGAATAACCAGAGATTGCGTAAAATTGAGACACGACCTTGCGAAAGAGATCAGTCGGACATGTTAATCAGTTAGCTTTTTTAATTTTAATATAATTTAATTTATTGCAAAAGAGATACAGCGAAAGAGAGAGTAATACAAAAAGATCGAAAGCAAAAGGTAAGACACTGACAAGGTTACCGTTACAAAGCCTACCCGCTGAAGTTTGATATGAAATAGAGGTTGGACAAAACGCTACGGAAGGATACATATAGGACATGTGTCGGCAGTGTTAGACAAGAGAAAAAGCAAGAAAAGTTGCTGCTGAGGAACGAAAAGAGACGAGAGAGGAAGATGATCTAATGGAAGATGGTAGCTTATTACAGTATTTGGCGGCACAGTACGTAAAAGAGGCTCGAAATTTAGTGGAGCGATGGGAGAGGAAAGATTGTTATAATGTTAAAAAGACGTTGACATCCATCCTGGGCATCAATCGAAGCAACTATGTTGAAAGGCGCGTCTATCCGAAGCACCGGTAGGACAAGTAATTTTGTCCAAGGATTGCAGCGTGTTAGAATGGCATTTAAAATCGATTCTGCACTACATTGGATACGACTGCATCTTAATTTATTTAACTTATTTTGCAGGGTTTAACGTTAAACGTGATTAGCTCTCGGCTTCTTAATTTTCGCCGTGCTAAGAATATCGTCGAATAAAAAGACGGTACTTACGAAGGCAACGCTACGTTTCTTTTATTGCCCATTTCGCTTTCAAAATTTTGCTAATTAATGCAATTCCACAAACGAGACGTTCTTGACTCGACTTAACCCGATGGCCATACAGCCGGAGCCGGATTCCCAAAATGTCAAGAATCCGCGGAATTTCACAGCAAGGCGGGGCCGCGAATTCGATCGACGACGCCTCATTCGGGGTCTTGACATTTTGTCCCCGAATCTTTTTAAGATTCAAGGTTAGCATTTTTATCTACGCGAAGTTAATGTACGCGTGATGGGCATAGAAGCTGGGACTTCCTGAAAAGAGACCGAAGAGTCGCGCCTTGTCGCGCCGGCTGATCTTTTGCCGATCGTCGCGACTAAATATAGAAACGGATGGAATACTAATTCCTATATTTTAAAAAAAATTACACGACGTGCTCGTATCAAGCGCGACATCGTAATTTTTATTTGTCACCTCGCTGAATGAATAAAAAAATTTATAATCCATGAGTTAATGACACAAATATAAAAAATAACCTTTTTCAAAAAGACGGTGAAAAAAGACGCTAAGTATAGGCGCCATCCAATCAAGAATTATCTAATTTAATTATTTGGATATATTTTATTAGAAAAAAAACATTTTAATTTTCCCTACAAAAGTAATGATATCATTAAATAGCGCCAACTAATATGGGTATTTATACAAACTGGATACTTTATTGTTTTAAAATTTTATATTCTAACAATTTCGAGCATAAGATTTTACCGAAAGAAATAAAGGAGACAATAATATTAATGAGACAAATTTTTAATACTTATTCAATAAAAGTATGCAAACCACTCCAATACAAATAAGCATTTTATTAAAAGATGGCCTTTTCTAATTTAATTGTTGAATAAATATCCTGATTCACGACACTGTTGTTTATTTAAAAAAGTTGGCGCTGCTAAACGAAATGTTAATTACGCTTTTCCTCCTTCCTTACAAGCATCAAACTCTCTCTTTCTTTATCAAAAGTATAAATTACATACTTTTTAGCCATTGACTTTACGAAGATAAATTAGAGACTTTATTTCAGACTAGGTCGCCTGCGGCCCGACAATTTAGTTTTACATCGCCACTGGAGCGTCCAGTTGAACTTCGCATTTATCCGCTTGCAGAACCGCGTCCGTTGCGTGTACTTCGCGCGTAACTATATTTGGAATATGGAGCACGAAATCTCTAGGACGATTTCGCCATTTATAATTGCGCGTCTTTACAATGTTTGTTCTCGCGTGATTCTCTTCCAAATAATCCCTCGTCAACTTGGACACTAACTGCTTGATTGACTTGAATTCATCGAAGAACGTATCGACAATTGCGAGAGAGAAAGGGAGAGTAGCCAATGCAACAATTCTAAATCGGATTCGAGTCTATTATGACAATCTTTATATAAATTTCTGAGTTCTGGTATTTCCTTTTTACGATACATTTTTCCCTCCTCACTAACATACGCGACTCGACGTATATTAAAATCCAAAGGTGACGTCTGGTAAGTCTGGACTACTTTTAAATCGGTTCAGATTCTTAAATTTCCCAACGGCCGTCCTCTCTGAGAAACTCTCTGTGTCGCGTCTCGCACGGCTCCCCGTGCACTGAAAAAAAAATCTGATAGATTCAACCAGTCGTTAGAAAATGGACGAATCAGAATTCTTTTAGGATTTACCAGATTTGTAGTGAAGTCTAGCAAACTTCTGGTTATGAAATATCTTTCATGGTAAATCCTAAAGGTATTCCGATTGGTCCATTTTCTAACAGACGACTGGTTGAATCTATCAGATTCTTTTTTTCAGCGTGAGGACAATAAAAATGCGCGTTTTCAAGCGAGCGATCGAATAAATGGCCAAATAAAATGTAGGCAACGTACACACGAGTGATACAACGCGCAATAATACAGCCAACTGCCTCGAGAAAGGTGGTGCTGAGCGGCCGCTAAGCGGCTCTTTAGCAGCCGGAGCAGCGTCTTTTCCATGTTTACGCCGCGGCGCCGCGGTCTCGTGCGGCGCGCAGACGTACGGGATTGCGGTTTTGCGTCGTTGATTACGGGGCGCACATTATGCACGCGATCGTGATCCCCGGCGAGTGTTGCAAGATGCGTGCGCCGCGGTAATGACGCTTATTGTTAAGATCGTATCGGCCTACCGTGGCGAGACACACGCGGGATTTTGACACACGGCGCCTTTATTAACGGCGCGCCCGCCTGCACTTGCCTCGCACTTGCCAAGCCGAACAATCCTCGTCGTTATCCACGCGGCTGGTCCGCGTAGAATTTCATTGAGCGCGGATCGCGCGTGGCCGGGCATTATATCACCGATCGCCTCGCGATCGGATCTCGGCCGCCTTCTCGGAGAGCGATCCGGCGGTTTATCTGGGTCAACGAGAGGGAAATCTTCGCTCGCGCGGTTCTGCAATTTCGCCGGTGCGCCGGCCAGACGTTTGTCCTCGCGGCATCATTGCGATTGCGTCGTTTCTACAATTTTATTTAATCGGAGACGAGTGTATCCCGATAATAACGAGTATGGACGGCCATTTACGGAGAGCGGGGACGTGGTTCTTAGTTCGCGGAACGGGCGGACGCACGTAATCTCGGCTCGACATAAAGCTGGCAAAACTGCAAAAACATGGGCGTTTATAATCAGTACGCGCGGTATCGATATTACACATCGATATTTATATAATTTCCCCCCGCGGTTACGTGGGTAAAAGTTTCTGGCGGTAATGCGCGCGTGATTTCCATATTTATTAAAGACACAAAGTGGTAACAAATGTACGAACACGCAATTTTCATATGTTGCGAAAGTGCCAACCAGTTAAAATTAATTATAGCTTCGCAAAGATGTTTGTTTCATTAGAATTTATAATTTTCTTTTTTTAATTGACCTTGGTCGACGCGCAAAATATCTCGGGCGGCTAGATCCCGGCGCGTGTCGAGAGATAATAAAATCGGTGCCGCGCACGCGCAGACGTGAGAATCGCGAGAGGCGCGAAATCGCGGGACCGCCCCATCCGTCGTCGGCGCGAAAGGAGCGAAATAACGCACGCGCTCGGCTCAAACGCCCGTGTTTTCCCGGCAGTTATGAAATCGCATTCGCGTTAAAGGGTTACATAAAATGACAAAAAGCATCGGGCGGTTTTATTCTAACGTGATAATTTATGTTAGAAACGCTCCCCGTCTCTTTTACGATGCACTCGCCAGGCCCGCGGACTCGTTCGC